GAGGTATTGAGCCCGATAGTTGGCCAGATCAACGGTTTCGTGGCTATGGCTCAAACAGCGTTGGGCGCAGTTCAACGAAAGCAGGGGAACTATGCCGAAGCACAGAAGAATCTTTTTGAGGGGTGGGAAGGTCGAAAACAAATTTTCAGCATCAATGTCAACGTGTGCCTGGATGCGGCCTTTCAGCTTGCCCTGTTACTCAGGGACAAAGGGGACGGGGCGTCATGCCTGGAACTACTCGAAGAGGTCTCTAGTTCGTCGGTCCTACAACAGGACTTTGAGCGGCACTGCCAGATGGTGCACATTCGTTCTTTGGTCGAACTCGACAATGGGGAATACGACATCCCCAAGTTTGCCCTCCTCAACCTCCTCGATCAGGCCACTGGCAACAACCGAGACAGGAACAATCGGGAATTACTTTGGGTTCGCCTCACGCTTGCCGACGTCATGGAGAAACACGGAGAAGAAAAGGACGCCTTGATGTTGTTCTCAGAGCTTGTTGAGCCTCGAGAAGGAGATGCAACTCAGCTGATTGATGAACCGGAGCCTCCCTCGCAGCTAGGTCTCGCTAGAGATGCACTGAAACTTGTGAGAAAAGCTCAACTGAGCGAGAGTGACAATCTTTTACGATCAAATAACCTTAAATGGGTGCGAGACTCCGACTTCTGGATCCTCGGCGAAGGCGGTCCCGTCACCGACACGGCAGTGATTGCTCCGGTTCGAGAGTCCAAGAGGGAAGTTTCCGAAAGCCCACGAAATATGTCTACAATCTTGAGGATACTCGGCACCTGAGAGTGATAGAGAGTCAAAATAGTTTCAGTCTCGCACCGGGTATGGAATAAAAGGATCTCACGAAAATTGTCCTCGCCTCTAGCCTCTTTGTCGGGAATAAAGTTATTCAGAATAATTCACACTACAGTAATATAGTTTGAAGATTTCGGTGATTCACTCACGAGTCAATATCCTAGGGTATACGTCACTATAATGCTAGATTTAGAGCGTTGAACTTGGGAAATCATTATGTTGATTAAAGGGAGGGTTGATGTGGAATACTTCTCGCCTCCTAGTCGCTCTTCAATAATTAGAGGAAAAGGG